GTGGTATCTCAACTGAACTCTTTGCAAACTCAACACCCAAAATATCAACATTTATAGCACGTGCCCATTGTGGTGTTTGTGTGGGTGAAGAATAGTTAACGTTACTCCATCCACTGAAACCCAATCCGGAAAGAATCATGGAAGCTTCTGAAACCGACCATATGAAATAATATTTCCAACGGGCTGTAAAGCTACACATGTACTGATACATCAACCGATCTGTAAATCCTGAGTATTTGTACATTGGGTCGCTGAATGTTGATAGTGGATATTGGGGTATCAGGTGTAAGTATATACCCATACACAAACCAGCTTGAACAACAGCTTTCACTGTCGCCCCCAAAGGTGATGCTGAAGCTTTCTGTGTTTTCATCCAAATCTGGATTTAATGAAATAAACGTATAAATTCTTATTCATTCATTCACAAATCACGAATTTAAATAGAAACAACAAAAAATTATATACTTACACCCTTCCTTTCTGTCCAATCTAGATAATCTTTCATTTCATAAACTGGGCCAGCGAAGTGACTTCCACAACAAAGACAATATCCCACGTATTCTATGATTGAAGGCAACTTAACTAACCGGTTTTTCTTTTGGGATTCACGTAAATCTTCCTCTTTTAACAACCCATCATTGTAGTTAATAGCGCATGAAATCACTTTTAATGTTATCACCATCATTGATCCTAATAGGGGGTTTAATTAGATGAGATGAGACCATGCATCTTAATTATTGGACATAAGAGTAAATATGATGGTGGAGAAAGTGCTTACCGGTGGCATCAATACCTCCTTCCTTCCATGCATCCCCACTCATGTAGTATACATGGCTACATGTTTGCCAATAGTTGAAAACAATCAATAACGTGTATACATGGAGCTTCGAAGGAGTTTAAACTAGTGCGTACACTTGAAGAACATGTTTGAACATATATAAAATCAAAATCAAGATTAAGATTTATAGCTCGACATATATAGTTCTTTTATTGTAGGAATTTAGTTAGTTTCTCAAACTATTTGAATTTCAAGTTTTACAACCACCATCTCAATTGTAACAAAAAGTAAAACTATTCATCCTCGGAAAGCATTCACACGTAATGATATATATAGATGCCTGATTTAGTTTTTCACCAAAGTCGTCATAATACTCTGTTCTTGAGTTACATCTTAATGCATGCCTCTAGCTAGCTACTCAATGAGCTTAGGTAATGTGAACAATATTCCAGAAATTTTACAAAATTAACCGTGATTTCTCGTAAATTAAACTAATAAAAAGCAAGCTTCAAATTATATATAATGTGAATCACGTACGTACCATCCAATGAGGTAACCCATTGCTAACAAGAACGTAATCAAGCCGCATCGTCTCCGACAGAAGACCATAGACCCGTAGCTGATGATTATTGACACCAGGAAGTGCATATTGGAGGATAATCCGAATGATAGGTAGGAGAGCACGGCACCGGTTAATGCCGCGTACAGGTGTTTTCCGATGGAACCGCCGGGGACGAAGCGGTGAAAGAAGCTGACAGGAATACTGGCAACAAAACATATAAGGAATTGGAATACCGGAACCGATACTCCGATCAGAGACGCCATTTCTTGCATCTCCATTTCCGTTAAACACGAACACGTGATGATTCACGCCGAATCAGATGAACAATCTGGATTTGGAATTTGGGAAGGAGTTGTTGCATAGATCCAGACAATTGGTTGGGAAAATAGCACAAGAAAGAAGGTCATGGGGCAGGATGACACGTGGGTGTTTCTAATTGGGTTATAGTGTTGATTATGGGAGTTGGCCATTCCGCAGGCAGTTATAAAAGAGGGAATGTAATAAATTAGAATAATTCTTTTTCTTACCCAAAAGAAAATTTAAATATATTTTTTTTTCTTAGTCATATAAGATTATAACATGTTAAATTTAACTTTTTCTCTTAATTTTAGAATTTGCCTTGATATATTAAATAAGAAGATGAATATAAACAATATAACAAAAAGTAGTTGGATATTTCTCTTTCCAAAATTTCTAAAAATACAAATAATAATAATAATAATAATAATAATAATAATAATAATAATAATAATGATTTTTACAAACATAAACTTTTACAAAATAAATGGTCATTAAGATACTTAGGGGTATATTGATTTCAACTACTTTGTTTATGGATGGTCAATTTGGAGTAATTTATGGGCTGTTTGGCAGGATCTGAATTTTTAAGATCTGAATTTTTAAGAGGTCTGAATTTCTAAGAGGGTCTGAATCTTTAAGATCTGAATTTTTAACATGCTGTTTGGTTGGAACCTCTGAATTGCTGTGCTGAATTATAAAATGACCATTTTACCCTTCAGTGTAATTTTTTTGTTGAATTCAAAGTTTATGTTTATAAAATAACCAAACCAACTTCTTACATAATTATAAAAAAAAAGTATAAACACAATACAAAATCCAAATTTAAATAAAAATCAAATCAAACATAAACATTTGACAAAAATCAAATCAAACAATGCTCTAATATAAAGAGGTGAAAGTATGATGTTATAATAAATAAATCAATAAAAGTACATTGCTAATTCATGTATTTAACCCTTACAAAAACAATCTTACAATAGCTATGAAAACAACTTGAACTTTGTGCTTATATGGATCACATTACATGTATACAACTATTCATTCTTTGTGTTCCAAATCAATGATATGTGGTTAGCTACTAGTGATTGTCATGAACCTTTCTTGTCCAAGAGTATCCCACTGCATAAACATGGAACATTCAACATTAGTTTCAAACAAATATAATATTATATATATTTTTAAAAGAGTCATAAAAGGAACATTCAACATTAGTTTCATCCAAAGTTCCAAATGCTCAAGGTCAAACATCAAAAGGAACGATTTTGACAAAAAAAAAATCACAGCCTTCATCCACCATCATCTTAACCAAAGTTCATGCATAATTGCTAGATAATGGTGCACCATCACTTATGTATCAAACTCCATATGATACGAATAATATCCCTAGCTAAAAGTTTGAAAAAATCCTTTAAAGAACAACATACTTTTCAAACTTGATTTTTTAAAGTTCACAGTTCAAATATATAGTTTCATTCACCAAACATATGTATCTTTGTGGTCTATTTCAGATTCACCAAACAATTGGTTGTTTTATCATCTTCTATCTTAAGATTTCAAACAATATTCATATTTTCTTTAACCATGATACTAGTAATTACAGGTTTTATCAAATTTTATCATCTTCTATCGTAATATAAACAATTTGAGACACAAATCTTGAAACAAATACATGTATCCTATGACGATCCAGTACAGGATCGGGCATGAAATACAAAGAAAATCAAAATAGAGGACAGATAATCGAGTTCTAGGGCAAAAAAAAATCATATATTTCTAAGAATCGGTTTTCAGGTACCTGCCAAAGAGAAACAAGTTTGTGTCTTTGTGATAGTCGATTATCAGAATCTGTAATGTTAACCAATCAATTATCAGACTCTTTGTGATAAGTGGATCAAGCCTGCATAGTCAATCAATACAAAAATCACCCCATATCAATCAATAAGAAACTTGCATAATCAATCAATCGATTATCGGAAGTTAGAGCTCAGATTAAAATCAAAGGAATTATTCATAAAGGAAGAACGAGAATCGGACCTGCAACCAGAGCTGGAGGCGGAGCTACTGCAGGCGAAGGTTGCGTCGAGGTGTAGTCGGAGGTTGCGTCGAGGTGTAGTCGAAGCTGGAGGCGAACTGTCATTCCAAACGCCGGCGGCGGCGGCGTTTCAGGCGTCGTCGTCGGGGAGCAGCTTCGTCGGCGTATCGGGGGTGAAGGGAAGAAGAACGCACAGAGGGAGGAGAAGAGGAGGCGTGTTTTGGTGAAGGGTCGATGTCTAGGGCATAATAGGAACGCGTCTTTTTTTTTAATTCAGATGTTGTTTAATATCTGAAAAATTAAGAGGTATTTACAATTTTAAGAGGTAAGGGGAAAACAAACAATCTGAATCTGAATTTTTAAGACATTGCCTCTTAATTTTACAATTAAGAGGTAAACAAACAGCCCCTTAGTTAATTAGTGGATTTTTAGTGTTTCATGTAAAATCATTTTTTTAGCTAAAATAGGTATATTAGCCTAGCCATATAGTTTTTTTAGAACAACTAACACATACGGCTTTTAAATTCAACTTCTAAACTACAATTTTATCAGCCATGAGAATTGAACCCTAAACCTATTAGGGAGAAACACACTTTCAAACACCTAACACCAATCTTAAGTTCAAAAGTCCTACATTATATTGTGTTATTTCAAATGATACCGATCTTAGTTCAAAAGTCCTACATTACATTGTTTTATTTTAAAAGGCTAAGTTATAAAACATAGTATGTTGATCATATTTGAAACATCATTCATAAAACATAATAGTAATAAAGAAAACGTATTGATGACTTTTCATAAAACATAATGATAAAGAAAATGTATTGATGAATTCGCCTACAACTTTTCCTTAATTCATTACGTGTTTAACGGTCCCGGTCAAGTTCCTTGAACAAAAATTTATTTTAATTTTTTTTAAAATGAACTCCTAAAATAAATTTTTGTAAAACCCCTTTTTATTTTGTTTAAAATTTGTATACCGAGTAACCAGTTGGGCCAAGATGGACCAAACCGGTCTTAAAAGATCTGGTCCCAATCCTTACTGGTCCAGTTACGGGCATTTAATTTGTTTATTACCACTTCCATTTTCATGAATTAAAAAAAAGTAATTAAATAATTATTGATTTCGGGACAAAAGGAGTTTTAGAAAACTTCATTTTGGGTAACTGAAGTCTTTGTAGAATGTCATGTTGAAAACCGAAACTATATTTCTGTTTTTATGGTGTGCATTTTAATTGAGATGCATTGCATTTAATTTGTTATACTAAAAAAGTCGGTGAGACTGAGACGTGTGACATTACCACGTACCAACCAAAGCATAAAGAAACACCTGCCCAATGTCCATATCAACTTCATAAATACAAGTCACTTTATATAAACATCAATTCAGTTGCACTTGGACCCAATAGAGGAGGCCCATATAATTTAATAACTATTTCATAATTTACATCACAGGAGATAATATTACATAACATATATCGGTTGGTTAATTGTTAAATTAACTCAAGAAACAACGCCTCCTGCTTGCTACTCAACCCAACTTCATTCAAGCTTAACTTACTTTCTTCATCACCAAAAGCACGACGTGGGTATGGTCTCACCTGTGCATCATCAATATGTATGCTTATAATTAGTTATAGAACGGCCCAAAAATGCAATCTAATAAAAATAGATGAGTGTAATTAAATTACCAATCTGTACGTGGTAGGCTTCACCACTCTGCCAACATCAATGAAGTCAAAGAGATACTGCCAGGGACAAAACAGTCATTTCCTTCAAAAAAAAAAAGGACAAACAACAAACAAAATACACGTCATCATTTCTAATACTACTACTATACCTGTAACTTGTGAGACCTCAAGAACCTGCGACCACGTCGGCTTCCATCTGGCATCCGTACAAGAAGGCTGACCGCATTTTCATCATCAGGTTTCGGTTCTTCAGGAAGTGAAGCTTCCTTTGCTGTTAACTGCCTCTCAATTTCCTACAAATTAAATAAAATTAATTAACATAAACAAAAATGAAAGATTTCAATCCGCTATAAATATAACAATTACCTGTTCTTGATCCAGTTTCTTCTGTGCCTCCTCCTCCTTTCGCCTTTCTTCTTCCATGGCTAGCAACTCCTTTTCTCTGTCAGCTTGCAATGCTGCAAGATATTCATCATCCTGCATAAACAACTTGTCAACACTTGTATGACTTAATTAATGGCTTTCTGTATTAAGTCAAATATTTAAAAAGAATACCTGTTGTTCTCTTATCAACCGTTGAGCAGTGAGGGAGGGAGATGTAGGGCGTGGTGGCGGCCTAGGGTAAGCCCCAACTCCAACGCCTCTATTGAAACCATTTTGCATGTTACGATGTCGCGCATATCGTACACGGTGTCCGATTCCTTCAGGAATTCCACCAAACATTGCAGCCTCAAGCATAACTGCTTCATCGTGTTCTTCAGATGACATGCCTCCCCACTTTCCATAAACAATCACCAAGTAAAATAATAATATATTTATGCAATCAACAAATTCAATTTATATTATAATGTAACAAATTGGAAAAGAAGAAAGAGAAATACGTTGTCCACATGATTATTGATATTTTGCTGTTCTTCGGTATGCCTCACCCTCACTAGAGGTTGCTCTTGCTCATCTGTATCTTCACTTCCATCCTCAACACCCAATCTATAAAATTAACAACAGCTTCAAACATGTTTTAATGGCTTAACAAATTAATATTAAAAAAGTAAATCAGTGTTTACCTTCCATTTGATGATGCTGATGCTCCTGCTTCTTCAACTACAGACAACTTAGAAGCTCTTGTTTCTGATGGTCCAGCTTCAGATTCTTGTTGTAGAAGTAGAGCATCATCCGGTTGACCAATTTCAGCATCATGTTTGGAAGCCTCAATTGCAGCTCGGATCATCTCCTCTTCTATTCCATAATCAGGTAAATCACTAACTCCAGGAGCACTTGGAATCAAATCAGTGTCATGATGACTGAATAGATTTTCATTCTGTCCACTTAATCCTACTGGATGAGAAGATCGAAGAGATGGGAAGTCATCATCATCATCAATACTCAGGGTCCCAGGATTTTCAGGCAAAGTTTCAATTACATTCTCAATTCTAGGAGCACTTGCAGGAAATGGTAAGAATGGTGGTATGTGATTTGTGGTTTCCTCATCTATGTCCATGAGATCCTCCTGGTGATCAGCAACATCTGTTTGATGTCTGCTGAAATAACAGAATCAAATGTGTCAAGAAGGGAGATTAAACCAAACGAGGTTTATTATCTTTTTTTTTATCGAAGGAAACTGACATGTTTGTATCTCCTTGTGTAAAATGTGAATTAACTGCATCATTGAGATTGCCACCGTGTTCCTGATAATCAAATACACAAATATGGTTAGCCCTAGGCAAGAAAAGGGATATGGACATTTTGATTTCAATGTTCAAACTTCAAACCATTCTACTTGGCTATTAATCTCAAAGAGAGACACTTTCTTGAGAAAACGCCAAAGAAAAAAGGTGTTTGTCATTATGATTCAGAAAGTCAATAACTCCTAAACTTCATAACAATTACTAAAAATAGTGATCAGGGAACTGTACAGGTTTGAAATTAATCTCCATGTATATCATTTCTGGAAACACGAAGATTTAACATACTATTAAATTAATCAAACATTTGCATCCAAACATCGACTTGGAATACTGAAATATATGGAAGATAGCTTAAAACCCCTACATTCGATCAGGAATCAAATTTCGAACTCGATAAAGAAGAACATAAATTAAAAAAATACTAAAACTAATCAATGAAATGAGATTAACAATTGTCGAAATAACAATAAGTTTACGATTTAAGATGCAATTGAAATATAACATCGGTAAAATTACCGTGAGTTTCTGAATAGCAACCAGTTCCGATGAACCAGTGATACTCATGAACGTCTCGATTGATTCTTGATTAGGTGTTGCCATTCTAGAATTTTGAGAGCCAACTGATTAACTTTCGAAGAGGATGTGTTTGAATGTATACATACGTGAAGGAGAAGATTGTTTTTTTCGTGTGCGAGAAATATATTCATATTGTTTAGTATGAAATGTATCGGTTTTGGTCCCTATACTTCCATCATAGTATTTTTTTTATCCTTTAACTTGCCCCTTTTGATATCTTTTCAATTGGCATTTTGATATTCGATTAAGTGCATCCTCTCTAATAAATAAATAAAGGTTTTTTTTGTCACTTGTCAAATTCTCTAAGAGTTTTGCCACATGTAATTTTGTGGGAGTTTTAGAATCATTATTTTCCACTTGTCATTTTTTGGGAATTTCCATTTTTAAAATAAAATTCCATAAAATTCTAACGAGTTTTATAAGAAAAAAGAATCATTGTATTAATTTGATAATAAAATCTCATAAATGTTCTAAAGAATATTTGATTTCTCTTATAAATGTTCCAAAATATTATATTATGTTATGTAATAGTGTTATTTTATAAAATATTTAATGTTTAAATATTAATATTAAACTTTTATTTTTAATAAACCGTGTAGTACACGGGTCTCACACCTAGTTATGTATAAAACTATTGATAATTAATGAGACTACAGATAAATAATGAGAGATTATGGTATGGGCCTTTAGCATAACCATAGGTGTAGATGGTGATAGATCCAGAAAATTTTCAATTTGGTTTGATATTTTAAATGAAAATGATATTTAGCCAAGATTTATAAGGACCTTTATAGTATTGAATGGGTCTTTTTATAAAACAAAAATATCGATAAATATTTAATAATAATAATAATAACTAGTTGAGCCAACTTCGGCACTTTTGAAACTTCAAAAGCATTAAAAAGATTTAACGGATGATGAAACAGGATGATGGACTTATTAATTGCACAAAGTGAAGAAAAAAAAAAAAAAAGAGTTAAAAGCATATCCTTTTATTAAATTCTAGAGCATTGTTCGTTGCCATGTAGATGTGCACAAGAGTTTTTTGAAAATCGGATTGGTTTTAAAACCGATTGGGTTTGGGTCAATTAAATCAAAACCAGTTTGAGTTAAAACCATATCGGTTTCAAACTGATTTTGGAGCAAAAAGATCAAAACCTATTGGAATGTGTTACGACCATTTTGAAACTAGTTTGGTGAAATCAGCTTAAGAAAAAAAAACTATTTTTTCGCTAGTTTTTCGTATTTTACCAAACGTTCTTTCGATGTCGGAATTTAACAAAACTTTAATGATTGATCAAAAATGGGCAAATAAGTCAAATTCATGACTATTCTATGAGCTAAGGTATTTTTCGTACATTCGGGTGTTTAGGAGGTTCAAAACTGTATTTTTTTAACTTTTAATATTCAGAAAAATAAATTTCAGGTATCCCGGTTAGTAAAAGGGGTGAAAATCGATCGTGTGAAACGTCTAAAACCTTGTATAAACAACAAATTAAAGAAGCAATATATGAAAACAAAAAATTACTATATGAAAATCGGTTTTTATAGGTTTGAAAACGAGTATCTAAACTAGTTTTTCAAACAGGTTTCACTAGCAAAATAACTAAAGTGGTACAAACTGGTGGTTCGGTTTCAATACGGATCAGTTTCATCCAAACGGTTTATAAGTCGGATCGGTTTTCGGTTTTCAAATTAGTTTCAGATCATGAATCGGTTTTTTTGTGCACCTCTATTGCCATGGTGGGATCGATACATCCTATTAGAGCAATGCATATCCACTAATAGGTGTAGTTGAGATGAGCCAACTCTAGTAGAGTTATGTTTTAGCTAAAACAAGTTTGTTTGTTACAAAGGATCAATGGGTGTAGATGATATTGATTCGCTCATTTGAGTATTCTAATTTGAGTCCAAGCCTAAATATTGATTAATAAGAGTTAAGAGTCACCCATGAGTATCCCTGTAGACACGGCCAATACGTTGGTTTTGAATACCCTATGCAAACTATATAAGAAAAAAAAACATTAATATTATAATAGGATTTGACTCCTAATAGATCGCCTTTAATCATATTAGTAACTACGATTAAAAACTATAAATTTTTCCATTCACAAATAAACAGCGGCGGTAGTGATGGAACCGTGATAGAGGCCACCTGATTCCAAAGTGTTTTGTGACAAGGTAATATGTCGCTAATTCCATCTCTAAGTTTCTCGCTAATTTCTTTGATGATTTGTTGTTGTTGGCTTTTAGCGACGAATTAACAACGGAAATTAACGTTGTTGATTCATATGTTTCTAGTATAGAATTTGGGGCCCCCATCACGACACAAACCATATGTGGTCGCACACTCCATACCTCCTCAGAGTCGGTCTTGCCTATAGACTTGTCATAGGAGTTACATGGGGAGGTAAATCACAATAACCAAAAATAAACCATGTAGTGTCCATACTTGAACATGAGATGTCGCTTATGAATTATTACATCTTTACAGCTTGGAAAATTATGTACAAACATGTTTTTATCACTTGGTCTCAACAGTTTTTGCACGCCTAAACAAGGAAAACTTGTAGAGCCATGATCCATGAAGTTTCTACAAACCACGATATAACCTATAGTGTTTTTACTTCCTTAGATTTAGCTTCTTAACGACTATTATTTGAATTTGTTTAGGATGACTTGTATCTAAATTTAGTTAATTTCGTATTCATGTGATATTGTGATCCCTCGTGAACCAAATCAATACTAAAACTTGTATGTTGTCATATAAGTGAGCTTACACCATTTGAAATGTTGTTTAAACATGTACAACAGTACAAGTCTACATGAGTATATAATTAAGAACTGCAAATGGAGCCAAGGCCCAAGAGCGAAAGAGTAGGCTACGCAATATTAAAAAGTGAATGAATGTAGCAAAAAAATTATTTTTATTAGTGTAGTACTAGTATAGTATAGGTACCTAAAGACGATAAATAATAATGAAGGGGTCAAATAAGTCACCATAGTATATTACATGGGCTAATTTGTTTTAATTTTTATTTATTTTGGTAAATCGGAATTTGAAGCCGCTTGGTGCTTCTCCAATGTTGCACGCCTCTTTTCTGGGATTTGCTTTGGGCTAGGATAATCTAGTGTTACATTGAGTGTCATGTTAGATGGACTTCGATGGACAAGCGAGATGGTGGCCGTTTGATGACAGTCAACATTTTGGAAAGTCAATAGTTGGTTATAATCAATGGCTGGGATTCCATTATCCTGTGAGCAAGCGCACATGTTGATTAGTTTCCGGTTTCCCAATGTTTTGGGCTTGGTGGGTTTCTTGGGAGAGGAGTTAACTGTTAAGAATGTTGCTTTTGTCAAGTGCTTTGATAACTTTTAAGTTTTAACAAGTATATTGGCATGTATTTGTACGGTCTTTAAATATGAAAAGAATAATAATATACTTTTTGATTTGTTTGATCACTAATTTTTTTTCTTTATTCATATTTATTCCTTCGATTTATTTAATTATATATATTTAGTCCTTATGACCGGCTACTGCAAATAAGTCGCAAAAAATGACTTAAAAGGTTATATATATCTTATTTTGTACATATTTAGTCATTAATATTTTTTTTTACATTTAGTCTTTAATATTTTTTGTTGCAAAATAAGTCTCTGTTGTTTTTGTACACATTCAGTACATATGACCCATTTAGGGTTTTCTCATGTCACCTACGCGGCACAATCATTAATAAGGTGTCCGGGGTTGTTCATGGTTATGGCTATAGCGGCATCAGTTGTTTGGTTGCACTGGCGGACCTTAGTGGCGCCCGGGGGGTCCCGAGCCACTGCTCCGATTCCGGCACGCAGTGTAAAAAAAAATTATGTTTTTTTATGTTTTTTCTATTAGGTGCACCGGCTTAAAATATGAGTGTCACTACTAATTTAGATTTTTTCGGAAAAAAATTTTAGTGTGACCCCTACTAAAACGTTATGCGTCCGCCACTGTTTGGTTGCTTAGCTCGTGTGGTTTGGATAAGGCCGTATGTTTTGAACGTTGTAACTTCTTCATCCGATCATAGATTTTAACGATCTTTATATCCACGCGTTCGTATTTGAGTCTACTACAACTTTTGTTTAGATTACTTCCGTTAAAAAGTAATATATTTTTACTTAGGATCTTTATATCCATGCGTTCTTTATTAATGTATGTATGAATGTTTTTTTATAAAATCGTAATTAAAAATATATTATTTTTTAACAGGAGTAATCTAAACGAAAATTGTGGTTGACTCAAATACAAACGTGTGGATATAAAGATCGTTAAAATATGTGATCGTATGAAGAAGTCGCGTCGTCCAGAACACAAGACTTAAGTCAACCCACAAGAATTAAGCAACCAAGCACCCGAGGTCGCGGTGTGGTGGCCATATGCATGAACAACCCCAAACACCTTTCTAATGATTGTCCCACGTAGGATGTCGTGAGAAAAACTCAAAAAAACGATCATAAGTACTGAATGTGTACAAAAACAACAAAGTCTTATTTTGCAACAAAAATATTGAGGACTAAATGTGTAAAAAGATATTAATGACTAAATGGTACAAAATGAGAAATATATTACCCTTTTAAGTCATTTTTTCGGCTTACCTGCAGTAGTCGGTCATAAGGATTAAATGTGTACAATTAAACAAGTTTAAGGGGTAAATATGGACGAAAAAAAATTCAATGACCAAATATGTACAAATTAAAAAATATATTATCCTTTTAAGTCATTATCCCTTTTCTATAACTAGAATAAGCAATGGTATACATTTAAAATGTTTTTCTATAACTAAAATAAGCAATGGTATAAATTTTAAACTTATTCGTTAAAATGACAATATAAATAAAGTGTCTCTATAAAATCATATTTTTTGGATTTAAATGAATAACTATTATTAGGTTGTAAACAAATTGAACGAACGCGAACGAGGATTGTTAATGTTATGTTCGTTCGTTTAAGTTGGTCAAACAAACGAACGAACACGAACGGATAAATGGACGGGGTTTTTTTGTTCATGTCCGTTCATTTAACAAATTACATAGTTCATGTTCGTTCGTTTATGTTCATGAAC